GATGATGGTTATGCCCACCCGCACTAAGACTGAACTCAGCACCTTGAGCTGAGCAGCCGCCCGGATGGCTCAGTGGATAGAGCTTGTGCTCTTAACAACGAGGCCGCTGGTTTGACTCCTTCGGGATGGTGGCTATGCACCTTGAGCTTACAGGCCACAAGCTGCCTATGGGCAGCCAGATGGCGACTGGCGCCCTCCACAACGAAGACTGAAGAACAACAACTTGGCTGGTCCCCTTCCCCAATTCCCTGACACTGTTCCTCTCCCCCAATTCCCCAATAAAATCTTTAAAATATATGTATATATTTTTAATTTCTCTGATCAATTTTGGAGTCCTTGGGAATCAAGATCTTTTTCAAGCTCTTTTTGTGGACAACTAATATCACATTTATTGTTTGCCTGTTATGACATATAGATCATTTTCCTTTTCTTATTAATTTCCCCACTTTTTAATTTCTGATTAAAATTCATTTAAGTGTTTCTTGGACGAATGACTGACTCACGAGAACAATTCATTGGCATAACTTCTCAATTCTTTCCTCATAAACAAATCATTTCCAATTTCTCCTTTACATGTAGGAGGCAGAATATTAATTGAAGAATTTTTTTTAGAAAAGTAATCTTTTCTATAATACAACAAACTGAAAAAATATTTTATAAAGAGTAATTCTTTTATTATCTTGAAAACTTTGTGGTGTGTAATTTGTGTTTACAGCTTTTAACGAAGTATTGTTTTACATTTGTAGTCTTTAGACAGCTTTACATCAAACAGTGGGCCATTTCGATATTGCTTGGGTAGTGATCCCAGTCAGCCCTTGGAAAATTGTGGTTTTCCTGAAGATGTTCGGGTACTTCATGGGAGTGGCATTGTCAGGGATATGCACATGATAGCAGTCGATGGAAAAGGTGAAATACAGCATGGAGGAGAAGATGGCCGGAGCAACAGTGGGGCACCACACCGAGAGAAACGGGGTGGAGAAAGTGAGGAATTCTCCAATGTCAGAAGAGGGAGAGGTGTGTATTACTTCTTTTGTTCTCACTGTCTTTATAAACTAATTAGTGAAGCAGGGAGGGTCTAGGTAGGAGTGGTATTGGAGTTATCAGTCTGCAAAGGGAATGTGAAAAATGAACTGTATATAACATCTGACCATTTTTCTTTGTGTCTAGTTCTCACCTTTGATTCCACAAGGCAGAGTAGTGTGTTCTCTGAAGACATGGGGGAAAACATTTCTATGTTTACATCTGTTGTGCAAATTTTTGAGGTAGCCAAATTTATGTTCTGTTAATCCTCTGAACAGTCACTTACCAGTTGCTCCAACTGTGCTGAAGCTTATTTTACTGTCTATCAGTAAAAATTAGAATTTTTTGTTTCTTCCACATTTTCCCACTTATATCTAAAGATATTTAAAGCTGACAAATCAAGTAATAGTGATAAAAGAACATGTAACCATAAAAAGGTAAACATTAAGAATAGTAATATCATGAGGTAATAGAATAAAGAGTTGAGTGGAAAGAAAAGTAAATAATTTATAATTGTTTATAGTAAGGAATGAATAGGTATTGTCAAAAAAGAGAATTAATGGAAAGACAAATACTATATGATCTC